TTCAGCAGGTCAACTTTTTCCTTGCACGAAGCATTGGAGCGGGAAAGGATCCCGGGGCAGGTGAAGCACCTGGTTCCCAGTAGCTTCGTTTGATTCCTCCCAGTCAACAGTAAATGATCAGTCCCATCCATTCTTTTACATGGCGCCTAGAGTTTTGTAGATGTGCGTCACCTCCCCTCCTAAATAATCTCCTTCCCAGGACATGGAGTCCTGTCCTGCTCAGTTGTTCTTCCAAGAGCAGGCATTGGCCTTTGGTCACCCTTGTTGCTCTCTTCTGAACTCCTCCAGTCTCACTATGCTGTTACTGAGAAGAGGGGACCAAAAGTGCATAGAGTCAACTCTGTGACTCTTAGATTCGTATGACTTTCTCTGCTCCTTTCCTAATAATCTCTGACATACGAGTTGCTTTAGCTAATGTTTTCATCTGTTGTAACCCTAGATCTTGTCCATCAGTGGTAATGGTCAGCTCAGGGGCCATTATTTTATACATCAATTTAGGGTAATTTTTTTTTTCCTCGTGCACCCCTTTACATAACTTGAATTTCACTTCCCATCTTATTGCCCAGCCACTCAACCATTTTTCCAGAACTCTTGACAATCTGCTTTTCTTGTCCCACCTCCTCTGAGTGTATCATCAGCAAATTTTCTCAACCTCATTGCTCATATCCCTTTCCAGATCATATTCAACAGCTCAGTTCCCTGCACTTGTAACATCCTTCTGTTCTGAGAGCTGACCATTCACTATTGCCATCTTTGCCCTATCTTTTAAACACATTTCCATGCCACAACCTTCTTTCTTACCCCCTACTTGCTTAGTTTCCTTAAAAAAAGAAGATGGATACAAAACTTTGTCAAAAGCCTCTTGGACATGCAAGTAGACTATAGCAGCCAGATCACCATTCTCCACATGCTTTGCCTCCTCCCAAAGCAAATTCTCCAGGAATATCATTCCAATTTGAAAGCCACTGTACAAGGGTGTGTATGACAGGGGGAATCTAAGAACCACGATTCAACCATAACTTTCCGCAGTCAATCTCAGTCCTCGTCTGTGTAGTCTATTCTCATACAGAAATTGTTCCACGTGCCTCATAATTCTTGTCGCTTTCCTTTATTTCGTGTCTAGCTATCCTATATCTGTTCAGAGAAGAGGTAATCAGAGCTGTGAGCTGTATCTCGGCTGTGGACACGTAACAGATTAAACCGCATTTGCTGAGGGGTGCTGCTCTTGCAATGCTTTGGAAGCCAGTCAACTGTGCAGTGACAGTGGGTGCTGAGCCAAGAGTTAATGTCCTTGTCCTGACATGTTTTCAGTGCCTGCTATACAGCAGACTGTGCGGGGGCGCATGCATGTTCTGGCACATGCCTTTCAAAAAATCAAGGGAGAATTTTACCTTGTAGAAAACCAATAGGGAGTGGTCTGCGGTTAATAAGGAGAGAGAAAGGAAGTGGCAGGGTTAGTTTCTTAGTACTGGAAACGTTAAAGAACGATTGCCCTACTAAACCACATTATGCTAAACATCTAACATAGTCCTGTCCAAACAGCATTGATTTCACCAGAACAAAGCTAGAATTAGGTGAGTAACTTGTAGCTGCATTTCAGGCTGGGGAGAAGGGTATAAGGGCAACATGCTTTCCTCTTCCATTTAGTCTAGGGATTTGGTTTTTGTTGCTGGTGATCCTCCTCTCCCACACACTTTCAGACAACACTCTGGTCTTTTCCTCTGACAGTGTGTTCCAAAAATCATAACCTAATTTCTTTTATTTGATGTTCTGAAATGGCAGGTGAAACATGCTTGCATCTTCAGAAAAAACGCAGGGAAATTAATAGATCCCCATCTGAACTATGTTATCAGGAAGCCTCATAGCCTAGAGAAACCAAGACTGATTTCTTGTGGTAAGGCACTTTTAATCCAGGTTTCAAAAAATTAACATTTAAAGGCAGGTGTAGATAGTTCTTTCTTTGGTTTAATATTTGGTTCCTGGAACAATGTCACTGAGGTTAGCTGCCTGCTTGCAGAGGAATATACTTTGCAATAGACAAGTTATCAAAAGGTTGTGCTGAAGAGAGGAACACCCAATAATAAATACCATGCATAATTCACGTACAACTTTTTTTTTTTTTTTAAAGAAAAATCCCACTATTTTTGTAGATATCCTAAAGCCTAAAGAACCTACACTCCACAAAAGAGAATAAAAGAATTTAAGCTTAGGGTGCTCTCAAGTGTTAGTGCTGGGTAACTGTCTCATCATTCTAAGGGTATTAAAATACCTACTGTATCCATACAAAAATGAAGCTCCAAGATCCATGATGTTTCCTTTTAAATTAGGTGAGTCGCTACAAAGAGTAGCCAAGAGACCTATTCCAGCCTTAGTTCCAAAACTTGAGTTAAAAAGCATAAAAGAATCTTTGACTGCAAATGTTTGGGGAAGCAGAGGGCTTAGTCCAGAGGAGCAGCCTCACATTTCAGCAGCCTCATTTTAGGTCCTTCAACGTAGTGGCAGCAGTTGATCATTTCACAAACAAGTCAGGGAAATGTCTATTCCTGCAATACTTTTGTTGCTTCCATCTTACTCTGCTGGTGTTTATATTTACAGGAACATTCTCCACAGAACAAAATACTAAGGAAACGCCTGTTGAAGAATTTGTGTCACAGTGCTTGGTGCAGACTGATGTAAAAAAAAAAAAAAAAAAAAAAAAAAAAAAGAATACTGGTGAAGTTCTTATTCTCTGAACAGCAAACTGTAATGAAGATGTTTCATGACCAGTTATTTCCAACCATCCTAAGATATCTTTAAAATTCTCCAGACTAAGCAGTGTTGATG